TGTCAGAACATATGTAATTAAAGGCTTAACTCTTCACAAAGTTTTCTTTTTTGAGGTCAAGAAACTGGCAGGTAATGCGCATTTCAGAAGGCAGCCAATAACAGTCATGGTGGAACCATTTGATCTGCAGATGCCAAATACCATTCAAGCAAGCTGCAAATTGGATGAAATGGTGTAAAAAGACTGGTGTATTGAAGGCACTGGCACATGTTCTTCTGTGACTGTGGTACTCCTCCAGCTTCGGACAAACACGAGAATTCAAAGATAAATTCAAGATAAAATGTCATGTGTCAGAAAGCATTTTATGTTTTTCTTTAATAAGTTGGTTAAAAGTATCTGAGGGCTTCTATTAGGACACCTGGACAGCCGGTGAATTTGAAGTCAGCAATTTGCCAGGAGCAATACACATTCCTATGTTTCTGATTTCTGACCGTATAGCCAAGGCAAAATATTGAAGTAAAATAGAAATTTCCTCCAGAATAATAATTCCTTAATTGAAAGGTTGTGCTAACTTTGTTTCTGCTGAAAATCTGATCTTCAGCTGGCTTTCTAAAATATTTGCAAAGACCCAACCCAAGTTATTGTTCTCAAAGAATATCTCACAAAGAAAATTACAATAAATTAGATTTAGTATCTGGAATATTCAGTTCTTTCAAGAAAATGGTTTGTCTATAAAAAAAAGTTTTATGAACATTTTAATGAGGCTCACACTTTGGCCTGAAACAGCTTATGAAAACTCATGGAAGTGCCATGTGCCAAATAAGACTGGGAAACAATTTGTGTGGGTAAATAAAGCACTGAAGTAAACTGGGGAAGGAAAACATCTTTTCTCTGACAGAAGAAACAGTCTCTTTCTTATGGCCAGAATCTACAGTAAATGTAAATCTACATTTACACCGTAATAAATGGGCAACTTTTGACTAAGTGCTCTAGAAAAACCTAAATGGGCAAAAATAGCTTCAGTACAGTCAGCTCTATTTTTAAAGGACTACCAAACATTATATTAAGCAGTCCCCAATCACCTGAGGGCAGCATGGGGTGCCTGCCTTTCCTCTGTGCCCCCAAAGGTAAGGGCTGTGCTTCCCTCAGAGTTTCTGTGCCAAGCAGAGGCAGTCTGCAGTGCATGGCAAGCCCTCTCTGTGCCACAGACCTTCACTCGGGCCAGCAAAGATACACGGAGGGGAAGGTCTGATCTGACACTAAGAGCTGCCACTGGCATGGTTCTCCTGGGCAGAGGAGAACCAGCACCCTGCCATTAAACCACACAGACAAATGCTGAGCCTAAGTCTTGCAGCAGAGTGGTGGCTTTGTGGTGCAAGGCCAGAAGTGCTGAAATCCTCTGCGTGACACAAAGAGATTGATCAGACTTGTCCAAAGTCACACATCTATTCCCCCACACTGGAAAACATTGTGAAAACTCTGTCACTTGATCCAAGGGCTCAGGATTCATTACCACCCCCTCTTCACATATTTAGCACAGACACTTGGGGGGAAAAAAAGATGTGAAGTATGTAAAAATGTATACAATATGTCACGACTGAAAAGGAAGAGGTAGTATGTTAAGGAAGTGGCAACACACCTGAGCTGGAAAGCAAAGGCTGAATAAGCCAAACACTGAGGTCAAGTGAGAACAGAACTCAGCTGGAATGCAGTACTCGCTGCTCTGAACTCAGTGGATGACACCAACAAATTCGAACCACTCTTCAGATTGGGGACTTCTGATCATGTAGAGAATGCTGAAAGGTTTTTCTTCTCTATTTCACAGATCTAGATGTTCAACACACGGGCAGGAAACACCTTTGTTCTCCCTTTGTATATTTTCTTGTAGTTTGGTAATTCACGAACTCATTCACAGTTGTGAGACCATTCCCAAGCACTAGTACACTGTGGGAACAAGCTTGCACGCTGGTACATGACCAAGCAGCACCCCTGTGCAACAGCAGCCCAGATCACAATGCTGCAGGTTTAAGACGCTCAATACTTGCAGAAACAGCATTAGCAACTTTACTTATTTTGGTAAACTGGTATTTTGAGAGAAGAGAGGAAAAGCCAAGGATCCATAGAAGTGGGCAGAAAATAAGAAAGCTTTAATTTAGCTCCTTAGAGGTGGCACTGCCAGCTGGCCAGCTGACAGACTCACCGACCACAAGGAATCACATTCTACCCTCGGATGGTAAAACGGGAACTGTTTGCTCACTCAGGGTGGCTGAATAGCTCACCCTGACAAAGCCCACACTGAGGATCCTCCCGTGTTTTTTGTGGGTACTGGGGGTGCACGTTTGAAAGCGGGGGGCAAACAGATTCTTTTATGCCACTACCTTAGCAGCATCACAACTTCTGCACCTAAAACAATATTCCTTTGATGAGCAACAAAACAATTGCCATGTCTGGTAAGCGTCTATGATACTTGTCCTGCAGCTGAAGGGGCTGTAAACCAGATCTAGTCACAAAGCAATTGTCCTTGCACTGTCCACTGCAAGTAATATGTATTTACTCAGGGCACTGGAACAGGACACCATGCATGCTTGCTGCTGAAGAAAAGCCCATTTATGCCTGTTATATTGGAAAGTTTGTACAACATTTATTCTTAAAAACTGGTTGTGTTTCTTAGAGTCTTATAATCCTTTACTCTGAAATGAATGAGACAGTTTGTAGGGTATGCCACCTGATTTGGCCCCACCTAAACATTCTTCAGAGATGCAAACTTGAGTTATCACTTAGCTGATTGAAGAAGAGAAACCACTGATATTCAGGTCTGAAGACACTAAAAGTAGTGTCCAAATCTCTGCTTTGCATTATTCACTAGAGCATGTACCTTCTGGGATCTTACTAGGGCACCACTGTGCTACAGTGGAAGCTAATGCAGAAACAAGTGGTCCACTATGCTACACAGGAGGGGAGACAGTTCTAGTAAGTTTTTATTTGCCAGGCACCCATTTAAATTAAATATGAATCAATCACAGGATGTCATAAGAGTGTCTCAAAAAGAAACTGCTATTAACGGTACAGAGAGGTGACACATCCAATAATTCACAGTTACAATAAACTCAACACTCTTTATTACCCCACAGGCACACTGCCCTGGCCCAGCACTCCTGACCATGAATCACCCTGTGTGACCATTGATGAAAATAGCATTTGCTTCCTTCTAGTCCAGCAACAGAGTGAAGCTCTTCACTGGCTGAGGCGAGGGCAATCTCCCCCCTTCAAGAAACTTTCAGAACATTCTTTTCTGCAAACAGGACAGTGAAGTGTCTGTCCTACAGCTTTTAGCTGGAACTGGTTTTAGAGGAGTTCTGGTCTGCATGAACTGAAAATGCCAAGCTCAGTATCATCTACCATGCAAGCTCCTCTGTATCTTGTCAGACAGAGCACAGCGAGCACCATGTGTCTGGCAAAAGTAACATGTTCTCACACTGTGAAGTCCATCAGAAAGGAAGTCCCTTTCTCAAATGCATTTAGATACCTAGAGATGCAAATCAGCATTAAATGGCGACTGCCAAAGGACAGAAGGTGCTCAACTGTTCCTGGTTTCACTTTCTTCAAAAAATACTGTCATAAGTTTCAGGTGATGACAAATGTCTGTGAGCAATAGCTCATCTGCCAATTCTTGGCACTAGAACTGGCCTCTTCCTTAGACAGACTCTGCAAGTGGAAGTGTGTTTATCCACATGCTCCTCCATTCCCTGGAAGAAGTGTGAGGCTGCACTACCTGCAGCCATCTGGGAAGACAGCGAGCCATTGGTGGCTCTTGGGAACAACATTCAGTGCATAGTTTATGGTGCTTACCACCATGAAAGAGCATAAAAGATAAAGGCATGGAAATAAATTCTTAAAGCAGTTTTCTGCCCAAAAAAGCACCTGGTCATGTTGTGGATAAATATTTCCCTCACTTCTAGATAAAAATGTATTTTTCCAGTTCCATTAAGAAAATTCACAGAATTTAATAACAGAACTACTGAATATCCTAAACACAATACTATCTTCTACACAGAATTCTATAATTCTAAAACTTAACACCTTGCACCCATTATCATGAGGTAGGAAATCACTATGGCTGCAGAATTTTACCTTATGTCCTCACAACACCTTGGTGAGGTAGATAGGTTCCATACCATCTTCTTCAGGAGGGGAAATAAGCACAAAGAGGTGAACTGACTTGCACGGGGATACATGGCAAGTCTGGAAGCAAATCCCAGGTCATACCCACAGATCTTTCCACTGTAAGACACTGCTTTACCTCCCACCCACTTCCATCCCCAGGGCTGAAGGGAAAGCATCCAGGCACCACCGACAAAATACACCCAGACCAACATCAATCATTCTGTAGACGACTTCTGCAACAGAAATGGCATAATTAGGCTGCAAACTACTTTTCTTACAAGACATGAATTCCAAAGTACACAGGACAACTCCCACTGCTGTCAGCCAGCACAAGCACTAAAATCTGGGCCCCTACACTTTTCCCAGGTCATCAGTTAGAGCCTTCCTCACGTCTTGACTTCACTCAAAAACTCCAGAGTTAATTAATAAGGCACATCAGGGGCTAATTCAGGAACTTCTGCAATAGATGTCAAGTCCCAAGGGCCACTGGTCACTTCCAGGCTGGCACTCGGAAAACACTAGTTGACATGTGAAATCACACCTGTGACTGAGGGAAAGGCTCCCTGCTCTCTAATTGCCACAGTGCAAGAAACACAGGGCCAGCCTTAGTGCATCGTTGTCTGAGATATCAGCTGAATCATGACCATCATGGAATTACATTAACCCTCAATAAAGGTGCCAAAATGCAGTGAGATTTAGGAGTGAAAAAAGGCAAGAGAAAGTGTGTCGGATGTTGACTTGGAAGGATCCCACCACATGGTTGAGGCCCAACTAAAACATAACATAGCACCACATGGCATACCCCTTCTTCACTCGACAAGTGACAACAGGGATTTCTCTGTACAGTTGCTGACTTGTAGATATAAGGAATAAGTAAGGAGTGTTCAGCCCCTGCCTGAGTGCAATATTCAATGCTAATGATATACAAGTACATACCAGTGATATAATAGTTCAAACCACTTGATACAACAGTCTCCTCTCTCTTTATTGAAAGTTTGATAAATCCTAATCCTTGACCTTGATTGGAGGTACAATGGATCACTTGAACATACTTATGATCCTGACAGAGAGGTTGTATAATTGCAAGCACTTTTGGCTCCAGCACAACTGGAGTAAGATTGGGTTGGTTCAAACTTGAACTGATGTGTGACTGCTGGAAGGCAGCAAACACCCAACACTGGATCTGAAGTGGTGATGAGACTTTATACAGGACTGTAGGCAACAGGGAGTACTGAGGGTACTTTCCTAGTTCAACACACGAATTCTTCACAGCTCACTGATTTCTTGTGCTGTTTGCCCAGGCTGGGAATGTGTCCAGCTGAAACATAGGCCTTCCCCACGTGTTGATGGCCAGTGAGACACAGCAGACTCCAATGATGTTCAACACTAGTCCAGATTTAACCTGTGAGGAAAAAAATCCAAACCAACAATAACCAAACACCAGCACAGCAAACTGCAGCAAGACCTACTTGTACATACACAAGAAAGATGGTCAAATAAATCACAGGAATACCACTGCATCCACTGCCTTCTGCCCTTGCTTAGGTGGAGACACCAGGGAACACACTGTGCAAAGCCTTTGAGCGCTTTGCTATGTATATAACCAGTCAAGGAACTTTAAAGCATGTGTAACACGTCCCTCTTATTAGTCAGAAAGAACAGCTTATGCCCTCTTCAAGTATCCAGTTAGAAAACCAGTAATGTTTGTGTGTTCCGCCCAAAACCTGCCCTGTGTGGTCTGGCAGAAAATCAGAGGACCAGAGCCAAGGGCTACTGATTGCTACCTTCTGCTTTCAGCTCCAGTGGAGACAAGGCTTTAGACACTTGCCAAAGCCCCAGAACACTGCAGGGCATGCCTGGACTTTAACCCTTCAGGTTTCAGAGACTTATGACTCGTCAGTTTTTCATTTCACTTGGGCCAATCTGTATGTCTGCCAAAGCCCATGAGAGAAGTACTGTTACTTCAGAGATGCAAATTTTTATCACAATATTAATGCTGCAGAAGAGAGTGGCATAGAGCTGCAGTTACAGCCCATAACAGCTTCCTGGTACTTTGGAAATACTATGCAAAGAAAATTAAACTCTCACCATATTTCAGGAAGAAAGCAATGGAGAATTTCAGATAAGAGAGAAGGCAATTATCTTACCATATCCAAAACACGGATGTGGCCGTAAGAAAACACTATTGCATTTGGTGGTGTTGCAACAGGTAGCATGAAGGCAAATGAAGCACTGAGAGTACCAGGCAGCATAACATACAAAGGGTGGATCCTGATAGATTCAGCCTGCAATGAAATGGAGAGAATATCACTCTGGGGGTGTTTGAAAAGAAAAGCATAAAGGATCAATCTACCCCAGACCAATGAGATACATAGACTTATTTTGTTGTCTCGTACTACATCACCAAAATAATTCACAAATACTTTATTCTGAAATCCACATGTGCTTAAAGATAACTTGCTGTTGTTTCCTGTCCAATGATACTTAAAAACAAGGCTTGATTCTTTCTTGTTGTTTATTTTGCTCTATGGCATAATTTAGATTTCTGGTCAAATATGCAATATATCATATATCCAGCAATCATTTCTTTGACCTCGGACCACCCTTTTTCCAGGAATGGGAATTATAATTACTAGGCACGTGGAATGACACTCTTAGACTTTACATAAATTCTGTGGCACTCAAAACTTAAGTGCCAATTTAAGTTATTAATAGCTCAGTACCTTGATTGGGGTAATTTTGCTTTGAGGAAATAGTCTAGAATAAAGTGTTTGTCCTTTTCTAATTAAAGAACAAAGCTATCTATTTTTCTCTTTATGCCACAGTTTTGATTCTGCTCAGAAAAGGCAGCAAAACTTATCAGGTTTTCCTCCTTAAGTTTTAAAATTGTTCTGGGTTCCTATGAGAAATTGCACATTCCTAATAATCAGGCCTACCACTTTGAGTATTTTAGCACAAAATGTGAAGATGAATAATTCAGAGGCACCATCAGAAAGTGCTGGATTTTGTTTTGGTTTGGGTTTGGTGTGTGTGTGTTTTTCCAGTTCTAAGTTGATGGTTCAAAATGACCAGAAGTAACTGATGTTTGCTGAACTGTATGGAAAAAGTGACTGTCACTTCACCCTCTCCAGGGTCAAGGCACACACCTTACAGAAGGCATGACCTGGCTTCCTTTTAAGTACACTGGAGCAACATCCAAGACAATAATTACAATATTGCTTTGCCACGCAGTTTAACTCTGATCCTCCAGCTGACAGGGTAACAGGACAGAAGCAATCTTACCAGGGATGAAAAGACAGGCAGGAAGAGAGTAGCTGTGGCCACGTTACTGGTGCATTCAGTGAAGACAGCGGTAATGAAGGAGATCACTGATGCAATGGCCCATGGTGGGATCGATCCCAGTGGTGTCATCTGACGACCCATCCAAGCTGAGAGCCCAGAGTTCTGCAAGAAAGAAAGTGGGTTTCAGTGAGGTTCAGAACCCCTGACTCACAAACAGTGAAGCCATGTTATGGGCAACATTCCTGACAAATAATACTAAAGGACTCCAGAACTATACAAACACCATCCAGGAAAGTACAATTATCTGTCACAAAAACTAAAAAACTCACAAGCATTCACCTCTCCTTGGTTTTTGCTAATTTAGATCTCCCTTCAAATCTGAACTTTGCTACTGGGTTTGGCTTTGGGTGCATGCCCAGTAATACAGGACTAGATAACAAACCAGGGAATTTTGCCTTTGAGTCAGAGAAAAACAGATGTCAGGACATACTGCACTTGCATCAGCCAAAGCAAAACCTCCTCCCAGCAGCAGCACAATGTTCCAGGGCATCTTCCTTTGAACCACATTCCATTCTAGCAGCGGGGGTGAAAAAAATTGCTTTTTCTTATCTGAAGTGAGAAATAAAGAACATGTTTTAGGAGAGCGAAGACACTTTATCTTCTGTTCTGCAAGATACTGGTGGGCAGATGCACAGCACTGAGAAATCTGCACAGGGTGAGGGTAACGCACACGGACACGGACTGTGCCCCAGCACTGCCCAACAAGGGAGGCAGGTGAGATGCTCTAAAGAACTGCATGCAAATCCAGTGCATATTTCTGCCTTGTTGGCTGAGCGGGTTAGATGTTTCACAGTACTACAGTCCCTCTTTTAAATACCTTCTTCAGTCTGTTCAGAGTCAGACGTGCTTGTATTCCAGCCTATGCATTTGGGCTTATGAGCAGGAAGGACAAACAGTAACAGGGCAACAAACATAGCAGGAACAGAATCAGTGATATACCTAATGGAGAAAAGAGAATACAGGTTAGAAAATGGACACCTTTCTCCGAGAAAAGGGCTGTATCCCAGCATTCTAGTCACTGACTTTGCCATCCCATTTGGGGCTTGAGCAAAATAGGACATCAGCTGATGTCTGAAGTCTCTCAGATCTGCCATAATTTAAACACAATAATAAAAGAAACAAGCTACAATACACATTAATAAATAGAGTCCTGGATGACAACTCATCCCTCCTGGAATAGGGTTCTTTCTCTGCACTGAAGCCAAGATTCAACAGTTGTATCTCAAAGACAGACATCTAAAGAAATGGCCTGAATGATAGCCCCAAAATGTATTTTCTATTCCTAACATGCCATGCACAAACACTACACAAAGAAGCCCTTCCAAGCACAAAATCAATTTTCCAGTGACTTCTAAGGTGTTGCTTAAATGTGGTATTACCAAATATTCAAATGTCACTGCAACTGATTGGAGCTCATACAAACAAAATACCAAGGTGTATGTCAGTGTGACTGAGACCAAGATTACAGAATTTTCTCTTCTTTCGGGAACTTCAGCTTGCTCCATGTCTCAGTCTCCAGCCTTTTCACTGCAGCACAAACTGTCAAATCACAGATGATTGGTAGTGTCATGTACAAGCCATTGTATCAAGCCCAGCAAACATGTAAAGTCAGGTAAAGTTGGAATTAATGATCCCACATTCAAAATGGAATGTATGAACAAGGGAATCTGATTAATAACCAAGTGGGTAAAAGATGGAAAAAAACCTAAATACTTACTTTTCTCCTCCTTTGAAGAGTATGCTAGCCCAGCCTTTTATAAAGCCTGGGTTTCTGGAAAACCACAAGAGCACCAGCAATATAAACAAAAGGAGGACATTTATTTCAGCATAAGACATAGGGCCTAGCTTCTTCATTTCTGCCTTCAGCACACTGTATGCAGCTTTTTCTTTGTCAGTTTTCTGTGTCCCGCAGCCCCAGTTTTTTTTTATGCTTTGAAAAAAGGGAGAAAAAAAAATACTGTAAGAATGAACATATTAGAGGGATCTAGCATCCTTATCACTCTGCAGCTGCCCCTCTTGGGGACAGACACAGACAACAGCAGAGGCCATAAATAAAGAAACTACAACGGTGCCAAAGTATTTTGTGGGGACACACCAGTTCTCACAGAAGAATGTGGTCTATCAAAGGATGGCAATTTGGAGTAACTCAGGATGAAAAAGTCAGGTTTGAATCAATGGCTGCAAACCAGCTATGACAGCTCTCCCAGGGCTGAAATTCACAGGCGAGAGATTGAAAAATAAAAAGGCAATTTTGTCTGAAGATTAAGAATGTATATGGCTTTTGCCTTAATATACCTCCCATGAACACAAAAGGTTTCCAGACCTCAAAATTTTTGTGAAATGGACCTGCTCTCTGCTACAAAATTAATAACTTGTCACTGCATTTGTTTTAGCCAGATGTCTCAGAAAGCAGATCTGCACTAACTTACTGAGGGGTTTACACAATATCATGTAGATAAATACTCACTTGAGTCCCATGAAGGACCACTGTAACCAAAGCCAAGCTAGTGCCAACATCAGGACCATGTTTGGGAATGAAAATCCAAACCAGGAAGCAAAGTCCACAATATCATTACTGTCAGGGTATAACCTGTAAAGAAATTATTTTCTGCATGAATGTCAAAACATTTAGCAATCTAGTCCCCCTTTAAAATGTGCTACAGACAATTATGCATGTAATCTACGACAACCATTACGAGCAATCATAGGTAACATCCACAGCCTAATTTAAGTCATGAGAGAAGGCAGCCTGATTCCAGAGCAGAACTTAAATGATTGTCAGTTTTCCCTACGTTTTAATTTGATGCATACAGGAGCTCATGTTGATACTTTAGGTCTCAGTCAGACAAGTGTGGCTGAAAGATCTCCCATTCATTCCAGACATTTTTCACTTCTAACACATCTGTTCATTTATCCCAAGAAAGGATAGTTTTTTCTTCCTCCCAAATCACTCTAGTAAGAGAACAAGAAATGTCTTCCCTGAAATTAACGCCTGTACTTCTGCTGCCTTCAACAGATGAAAAAGTTGCTAGTTGGCTTGAAACAATGATGACAATGTTTTAAGAAAGGCAATTTTTGTTATTCTCTGTGCTTGCCAATAATGATTGGAGGAAAAATATCAATAGCAAACTTCCAGCTGGATGTTAAAACCAAGAGATAATGTAGCAGCTAAGGCTGAAGTACTTGCAACACAAGGAAGCAATGTTGGAAAAATTTCCACTGCAGATTGGGTTCCATGTAGATCAGTTCCCAGCCTCAGTTTAGCAGTGACAGAACAACACAACTGCACAGTTTCCACAGCCACAGCATGGAGGAACAGTGTTACAGGAGGGGCCAAGTTCCTTCTAGCTCTCTTCAGTGTGCTTATGAGTAGAGTTAATCTACATTCTTCTGGTGCTTTTTACTGCAGTTCTTCTTCCAGATGTGCTGCATTTCAGTTGAAAAAGAGGACACAGAAGAACCAATATCGCATAATCGACCACTTGCATGTTGGTTGCCAACAAGAATTTCCAATTTTCTCAGAAGACCTTAATTCCATCACATAGCTTCCTTTTAAAAGATGCTGAAGCAAAAAAAATGAGGCCAAATACTTCATACACATTTCTCAGTCTCAGTTCCTCAACTAATTGCTTGAAGTTCACAACTGAAATTGTCATCTAAGACCAGTCAATTGGTCACACAAACAGTATGACAGTGTAACTAAAAGAAGCAGCAAAAATTACTCACTGATTCATCTGGCCTTTCAGTACCATATTTGGTCCTGTTCCGGTAAGTGTTGCAGTTCCTCCAATGCTGGCAGCATAGCATACACAAAGTGTCATTCCCTTGCATATATGCTTCCGCCTTTTAGTTTCCTCAGAAGATTTGGGGTCATCAGTGACTTGTTCATTGCTTACACCTAGACAGAAAGAAATTTATTTGCCTCAGGTAAAGTTGGAAAGGCAGAGAGTTCAGGATAGGATCTGTAGGCTTAGTGCTTCCAGTTTGTATGTGCCATTTATTTTAATTACAAAACTCACAGATATCTACCTAAATACTTCAGACTAATGTTCATGAGGAGCAGAAGAAAGAGGCTGATGGACTGATGGATGTGATCCAAGGATGCTTTTGCCCACATCAGTGCCACAACTCCTTTTCAGTAATGTCTTGTTTCACAGAGAGGCTCACCACCAGCCAAATGTTGTAGTCACTGAAACCATTCCAATTCCACAGCGAGAACCCAACTAGCTTTAACAGATGGGAATACAGGCAGGAAAAAAAAAAACCTAAAACCCAAATCCTTGCTTGGCATTCTGTCAATTTACAATAACCACAAAACTTTACTGCTGTGTCCATTGTTCTCTGAGGTTAACACTCTAATCTTGAAGTCTGACTGGACTAATGGAGCAGGACAAAGAATTTATGGCAATTGCAACCAACTCAACAATATTAAAGGGTATTTTTTGCACACTCTTATTATCTTCACTACACTTGTAATCTGATCTTTAATCATACTTAATAATATAGCCCTGCCTAACAGCAGAGCAAAGCACTGAAATGAGAGGGTCTGAGTTTGTGCACATATTTATTTTAATTACAAAGCTCACAGATATCTACCTAAATACCACAGATATCTACCTATTGTAGAACCACATCAGTAGCACAGGACCTTGAGGAATCAAGCATCTGGATAAGATCACACAAAAGAACAATTTGTCTAATGTGAGTCAAATTACACCAGTTCCTCTTTTCCATGTGGCTTTTAAAGTAGTCCTCTTTCTTCTCCCTATCTCCACATAACATCTGGTCAATAAAGAGATATTTATTACCCTATAGCCAAAATAGATTGTGTTTACGTAATTTTTACAAATAGTCCTACATGGCCTAGAATCTGAATCCCCACTGATAATCACAAGATTTAGAAAGTGGGATGCTGGGGGTTTGGATGGCTATTTCCCACAAGATATGCTCTTCACTTCCCTAAACAGGCAGTTAACTCTAGGGGAACTGGGAGGATGACTCCAGCTTGAAGGAAAGAACATCACAACTTGTCTGGGCTCTAGCACCAGCATACAAAACGGCAGCCATCAAAATTAAAAGCTATTTTGTAAAACCTAAATGTCATATATTTACAGGATTTCAGTCAGATTACCATCCTCTTTCCTCGGGAAGGGTACACAACACTCCTAGGTTGGGGAGCCGAGTGTAGCAAGTTCAGTAGCATCAGCTTATGGGTCAGCAGGCCCTTACCACTCACTGCAGTGGACCCTGATTTGCTCTTTTCCTCCAGCTCAATCGCTGTATTTGTTTGCCCAGTTGCTGGTTCCACCGTGGTCAACTCATGCTCTGTGATGTCCAATTCATCCAGGACAGCTTGGACAATGGGAACCATCATGGCAGTGGTGGCTGTGTTGCTTATCCACATTGACAAGAAGGCAGTGACTAACATAAATCCCAGCATCAGGCTGAAAAGAAAGACACAGAGGAGAGAGGAAGAAAGTGAACAGATGCTGCCAGGCTTTGTAGTCACTATAATCTGGAGAGCAAAGCCCAGGCAGGGATGTGTGCAGCCACTAGTACAGAGCAGGGCCAGACTCCCTTCTAGGACAGCTCTGCCACCTTCACTGAAGGAATTCCAGGGCATAATTAAGTCTGTCATAATTTTGTCCCCAATGGTAAGCCTCTAAAATTTACTCAGATGCAAGTTTTGGATAAAGCACAAATAAACTGCTCCTGTTGCTAGACTTCATTTCTGGATACTCTGCAAGTACAGCTAAATTGACTCTTGAAGGATCCCTTCTCTGCTGACTGTTAAATACCATCTCTGGGCCTTTGCTAAACTAACAAGAGGTAAGAGAAAACCAATGTAATACTCTTACAGTGCAGGTTTCACCCCAAGAATCAGAAGGACCCTCAGTGCAATCCTTTTGTGAAGATTCCACTGCTGAAAAGAAATTGCGACAATCAGCCCTCCAAAGAAGAGCATGTTTGTGCTATTTAGGTACTGCAAGCACACCTGTAAGACAGAGAAGATAAATCAGGCCAAAATACTTGCTTCACTAGTACAATTTGCTTACACCCTCTCAAATCCATGGACTGGAGCAGGCCCCAGCCAACACTAGAACAAGAGGCAGCTGCTGCCTGCAAGCTCCCTGCAGTTTCCTGAACCCTTGATCTCCTGTGTAACTGCTGACTTGCCTGCGCAGGAGCTCTTTGTGCATCATTGTGCAAAATGACACCAGTGTGCTAAAACGCAGCTAGGGGTTCAAAGTATGGAAGGTGCTGGAAATATTGAGCTCCAAAAGGGCTTTCTCAACAGCATCAGCAACCTGCCTTTATCCGCTTGCTGGGCAGCGGTGAACCTGGGCTACAGATCCCGAACACAGCCGGTGCCTCGTGCCTCCAGCACAAACAGCACGCCTGCCGGCTCTACGGGACAAACTCCCACAGGTTTGCCCCATGCATTTTGACATCTCCCAGAAGACTGGCAGCTCCACTTTCACTTCCCCTTTGTGCTTGGGAACACACAAACTGCTGGCACTAGTGGGATGCTCTCCAGCAGGACCCATGTCCAAAACAGATCCTCCCCTCTACCACCTCAAGCCCCCCACTCTTAACACTTTGGGCAAATGTGTATGTACTTCAGCATCTTCCCGTATAATACAGACTTGTTGGCTAAATATTGATGAGGGATTAGAGCACTGGATTTCTCTGTATCAGACATGGATTGCACAAGTTCCTTACTTTTTTAGAGGTCTGAACTCCAAGCAGAGGGAAAAACACCACTGGCATGAGGGAGGTGACAGACAGGGGGATCACTTCAGTGCACCAGTACACAGCCATGATAATGATGATATATGCACATCTGGCCTCCTGCAATAATAGAAGACACATTTAAGCATTAGAAACTGTTTTTAAAGATAAGAAACACATTGGTAGCTCTTAAAAGTGGCTCACACACTCCACTGTCTGTAGCTTAACAAGTTATGCTGAATGACGACTTAAACTTGTGCTCTTAAATAATATTCTGAAGTCACTTGTATAAAAAAGATCTTTTTGACCAAGAAGACCATAGTGTTTGCTTTAATACAACCACACAAAATAAATGCTGTGAGAAAGACAAATCTTCCACCACTAGGTAAGTGCATAGTTTGCCGTATAAAAGTACCTCTTGGTGGTTGAGGTCAGCAGATTTTACACCTAGGAGCCAAGAACAGCAATATAGAGTTAATTTTTTTTAATGGATGGCCAAGTTTCCCAGTGTGGATGATTAGCTTTTCTGAAATTCACAGGTCTTTGATGTATGTCCAGTAACACAGTTGAGCTCAGAAACTATTTCACTGAATAATTTAAAATTTCTTTGCTTTTTAAAGGAACCCCTAAAGTAAAACTCTTTTTGTGTGTGTGTGGCTAAGCACATTAGAGGTGTTAAACTATTTTCCCATGTCATATTGTCCCTACCTGCTAAGGTGTTTCCCTAGTTTAGAATTGTTGTAACCTGTCTTTTTGGGCTGTTGAGCAGGCATTTCTGTATCCCAGCCTTCTGTGGTTTGTACTCTAAAAATTGTCAGGGGAAGCAGGTATTCATTAGCTAACAGTGAACTGCTTGAAAGCTGAAGTCGGTGTCCTGTAGCTCACTATTTGCTCCTATTTAGGGCATGTGTTTATGGGATTTTACTCTAACACAACAAATGTGACTTTATTGCTAAAATAAATGGTGTGACAGTGACACTTAAAAACTGACATCAGGTGTTATTAGTAAGAAGGGGTGTATTTTCGTTAATTTTGTTGAGTGTTGGGGAAAAAGTTTAGGAACCAGAAAACACCTTTTGCAAGTAATGTGAATTTTTTTCCCTCAAGTTTCCAGGTTAATTACAGACCAAGTTTTGAAATGAAAAATTCTTCAGAGACTAGAAGATATCAGGCAGATGCTGTAGAAGTCCCTTCCCTTTATAAATATGAGGTCAGCTCATGATACAATTCATGCTGTACTGCAGTAATGCAAGGGTAGAACTGACTGTGGTTAATCTGTTGCTAGTATGAAAGACAGATAAACAACTCTAAGTGAATAAAATTCAAAATCCTGGTTTTAGAGAGTAGAGAGTAAATAATTTATGTGAAATTCAAAAATACAGCCGTGCTTATAATTCAACTCCAGCAACTGTGGCCAATTCAAACAACAAAAGATTTGGAATTAAGTATATATTTGTATTTATACCTATATATATATATATCTGTGATTTATGGAAACAGTCACAGAATGTCTCTTTGGTGTTTCTGTGCGGTTGACACAAAGCACAGTGGCCTGACTCCTGGCTGAGAGATGAAAAAGCAGTCACTGACAGAAATATTGCCTTTCCATTGCAAAATACTGTAATTTCTTAGGTTAGACTAATGACAAAATGTGCCTACAAATAACGACAAACTGAAGACATACTTAATTTTTTTGGAAATTATCTTTCCTGGTTTTGATCAAAGTAGAGCTTAACAGTCAGGAATTCCTCATTGTATAAAGCACCACCATTCAACTGAAAGGCCAGGCTGGTATAACTTAGACAGGTAAACAAGAAAGGTTGGCAATTTGGTTTATGAACACAGATAAAATTTTTCCGCACTTTAAAACAGATTGAGCAATACAAGTTGCTCAAAAGAAGGGCTGGCTTTGGCATTAGAATAGCCTCCAAAGCTCTAGTAGGCTAAAACACTGCAAACTCAGCATCCACACTTGATCAAGAAGTCTACAAGGCATTAAAAGCTCAAACTTTCCTGGGTTATTGCAATTTTACGCTGGTGTAACTCCACTGAACGCAAAGGAGTTGTGCCGTCGCCATCCCTGGAGTAAGATGGATGAATTGGAAGACACGGCATTTGAAATCCTGACCAATTCGTACAGCACAACGCTGACAGCATCAGGATGGAGAATGTCACCAAGCAACGTGCTAGGAGTACCAGACCCTCAGCAGAGAGCTGGGGGAAGCACTCCTGCCCTTCCGCCGACTCCACTCGCTAGGACATAATGCAGGACAATCCCAATGCCGGCCAGCTACGCCTGGGCTTGTCCTGGCCCAGAATGAAGTGCCTCTAATTGTCACGGTGGGTCGGGTGCCGCCGGGAGGGCCCGGAGCCGGGCGGAGTGCGGTCACCCGCGGGCAGCAGGCCCGGAGCCGGGCTCCCTTCACCTACCTTCGTGGGCACGACGAACGGCAGCGGCAGCAGCAGCAGCGGCGTGAGGAAGAGGATGGCGAAGGAGCGGTACCTCAGCAGGGACTGCAGGCACGTTGGGGCCATGCTCTGTGGGGTGACACGGTCAGGGCGCGAGCGCGAGCAGCGCCCGCCGCCGCCGCTTTAAGTACGGGGCGGGAGGGACGGGAGGGACCCGGCCGGGGGCGACACGTCCCGCCCGCCCCGCCGGGGCCGCCCCGGGCAGCGGCGCGGCTGAGCTCGGCAGCGAACGAGCCTCCGCAGCGGCCCGGCCCCGCTCCGACCGCCCTCCCCGCCCTGCCCTGCCCTGCGGGGACCCCTCCCCTGCGGCCCCTCGGTGCCGAGGAGAGCGGCTCAGTGGCTGCGTGTCAGCCACCGGCGCCGGCGGGACAGCGCGCAAGGAGCGCTCTCCCTGCTCCCGGAGCGCCACAGCGGCGCCGGCACGCACAGGCTCCCGCAGCGTGCAGGGACCCGCTGCTGCCGCCGCCCCTTTCGGGAGCTGCTGCGGCCGCCAAGGGAGCATCGCCCCCGCTCATTCACACCGCGGTGGGGAAGGACTGAGCTCCTTCGGGGAAATGGAGAGTTAAAACCACGGTGGGGATCTCCCCAAAACAAAGGTCTGTGCAGGCATGCATGGCTGTGTTTTGCTATTGTTTTGAGAGGCATTGGGCCTCTGGATCTGGGTTAAAAATAACCCAGGAAGGTTAACTTGAAAGGTTATTTTTGACGTTGTTGACTTCAGTGACTTTGTCGACAGCGCAGCCTTGGAATCCAAAGGGACAGCCCTACTGATGGTGGCCAGCACGACTGAGTGAGCAGAAAGGGACAACTAGACAGAGGACAAACAAATAGTTGATATTTTAGGCTTCGCTTCTGGGATGGCAACAGCCACTTGAAACTGAAGTCAGCATAAATCATATCTCAACAATTTGATCCTGCAATCTCTTAATACAGTCTTACCAAGCAGTTACTCACAGGAATAAAGAATTTCAGATTCCACAGCAAGTAATGAGGGAGCTCTGACTACAGCTTGCACTCTTTGTCCTCTGCTGACCAAAGGAACTTGAGTGACAGAAGTTCAAAACAAGACACTCCAATGTTACTTTTCATTTATAAAAGCAGTGAATGCCCACTAAGAAAAAAGTAGCCAACCGGATCTGGACAGATTCCAAATCTTCAAACCTTTCGGAGCTGTCCCTCTGGGTAACTTACCAACACAGAGGAAACACACTTCACACCAGTGCAAAGTCTAGCAGAAAGTGGGGAATTGGCCAAAACTTGAATTCCTGTGGCCTGTCTCCAATGAAAAAATGGTTCCTAGTCAAAAAAGGAAAAAAGGACTTGAAGCACTTAAATAATGCAAAATGTTCATTCTAAAGGAGTTGTTCTAAGGTTAACTCTGATAGACCAGTGCAAATGTGATTTGTTGTCTTCTTGTTTCAATTAGATGCAGTGAAGAAAAAAACCCATAAAGACAAAAAATGTGTTGATACCTTTAGATGGACTAATCTTGTGAAAAGAGACTTGCTTGCTGTACCTGGGGATGAGACATGGGACTCCATGGGCAATTTAAACTAGCTAACTCATGGCTCAGTCCTTTTTTTTTAGTCAATACAGAAAAGGTAATCAATATTCCCTTACTGTGCAGAATTATTGCAAACTGACATTCATACAATTTGATTATGATCTTCCTTTTCACTGTGCCAAGGAGAGGACAGACAAAGTTTTGGCTGCTTGCTTTACAGAACTGGTCTGACAGCTGGGTAGAAGGGAGCTGCAGAGAGCCTAAGCGCTTGCAAAACATCCAGGATGAGTTTTAGGTGATCCAAAGAGCTTTCAAACAAAAAGCTCCCACAGCCTGAAATTCAGCTCATGCTAACTGAGCACCCACTGCACACCTTCAAGAAAAAGGAATCCCTTCCTCTAGTCAGTATGGCTCTGAACGCAATAGCTTTAAATAGTGCTTTAGAAGCAGTGGGTAAAACCAGCTTTTGGTTGCCGACATCATTTAGAGGCGGGAGACTGTAGCATCCTTAGGTACCCTAGTGTTGAATAATGTACTTGTCTTGTTTTTCTTGATAGTCAGTTTCAAATCAGTTTTCAAAGGAACTCAAATTTTTCAGTTACAAAGAGGCTTGGGCATGGGTGGTGATGTGAGGTGGAAGCAGGAGCTGAATCAGGTCTCTTGTACTTGAAATCCCTTTTCCTGGTTGCATTTTTTCCATTTGCTGTTCTGCTGCCCTAATAAACCCCGGTATTTTGAAGCATGTCAAGAATTAAGGGTTTGAGTAACAGAGCCAAGCCCATCTTGTGGCTCACTGCCACCAACCTTCCCTGGCCTTTGCAACGTTTCTCAGCTGGTGGCTCTGGGGTTCGTTTGATTTAACTTGACAAAGAAAGCAGAACATTTTTCTGCTGTTTGTCAGCTGAATAGGTTCAATGAAGTGTTCAGTGAGCACTAGAGCCAGCTCAAGAGACTGGGCTAGTTATGGCTGGGCAAGGAACAGCTGTGGCAGGAACAACTGCAGCTTTCAAGACAGAAGATGCCTAGGTGACCTTGACAGCATTGTCAAACCACATGCAGAGTCTTGCAATCTTTCCTTTTATACTTCAGATACCAGAAGCAATTACGTGAACCATGGCCAAGAGTTGCAGTTAGAAGTGGGACACTGCTGAAGGCTAGTAAAGAAAGGCTGACCTGTATTATTTCATAGAGAAAGGGACTGAAAACCAATCCCACTTAGAAAGTAGAATTTCCAGGGTCAGTCCAGGCAGAAAAATTGTAAAATACAGATTTTTTTATAGCTTAGTTTGTTCCTGAGAAGCTGCTTTTCTGATATATTGCACTCTCTACAAGGCAATCATCCCAGTTACTCCAGTTATTGGAGGATAGGAATGGTCTGTGAAAAGGTGGCTTTACAGGCAGAAGCTGGTTCATTTAATTACAGATAGACGTATTTTCTGCTTCTAATTCAAATGCTGCCCAAGCACACAAGTACAGTTTACTTGTTCTAAACAGTCCATTTGACCTAGATTACTGCTACTCTCTCTCGAGACAAAAACTCCTCACATTCTTTTAAAAGTTCTTTCATGTTGCATGCTCCATGCAACAGCCAGAGGTACAAAAGTTTTAACAAAATAAAATTAAACAAGGACTGTAAGTCGTATCATACTTGACATTGAGAAACAAAAATTAAAACAACTGACCCTGAGATATTCTAGGATGTAGCAGAAAAAGAATGTTTTCTACTTGGGCTTTTGAAAGTCATATTTAAAAAATAACCAGTTCAGAACTTACCTCTATCTGATTCTTGCCTTCAAAAGGTGCCTAGAAGAGGTCCTGTACGGTAATGTTATGCACTGGAAGGTTTACGCAGAATTTAAATAGAAAGAGTTATTACCAGCATTCACTCCTTCATTGCTCTCCATTTTCCCTCCAGTCGGTCCTTCCCAGTTACTGCCAGCCCACTGTCCTGCTTCAGGAGTAGCTTTCAACTAAGTTCCCAGTGGAGCATCTGATATTTTTCCAGGAAAAGCTCTCAAGACTCTGAATGAACAGTCCTGTCGGCACAATCCCCGTGCCCAACAATGTTCTACATAAAAGCCCTCATTCTGAATTTTGAGTCAGTGGGATTTTCTCAGTCAGTATATGTTGCTGATCAGTCTTTCTTGAGCTAGAATTGGTGTTTCCCACATAGTTTGTGCCCTAAAGCCCATTCAAATGCTGTGCAGGCTAATGACCGCAAAAGAAAATGATCCAAAAGAAAATCACATTAAAAATTTGTATCAGAATTGGCAGCTCTGTAACCTCCCCCTTAGCTGCCATCTCATTAACATATTTGTTCAAAAGCCTTTTCTCTGCTTCATTACATAATTTGTGTTACAAAATCCTGATAAACATTCATTATTCCCAGATCTAAATAATGGCTTACTGCACTTCCTTTTTCTTCTGCTTTCATTTTTCCCAGAGAAAAAGGGGGGACAGAAGGGGCTTGTTTAGATGGGAAGTGAACCACACCAATTTCTGAGAAACATCTGTGGCAGCTGTTGTCTATGACATTATGATACATTGTGCAAAAACTAGTGAATGATTCTTTCTGATACTCCTGCAAAGTGAAAGAATTATTATTAGTGCCCCTACTTGACGGACTAAGAAGGTTAGTTAATATTTTCTGCATCTCCTGTATCCCATTGTTCCACAGTGGGTAGGGTCTGTCACATCCAAGACACTACTTGCATTGTAGAGCTATAAGGGATCAGTTGTAGCAGCAGGTACACAAACGCTCAACCTTCCTTCAGAAAGTCTTAAAACTTCTTGGCATTGAAAACATGAAGTTCTGTTAATTTTTCTCTCTAATTTATATATCTTCTGAAGTTACCTATTTAAAAATGTATTGCTGAGGTCCAGGAGGAGACAGGACGTGCTGTTCCTGGGGCCTCTGTGCTGTCAGTCCATCACAATCACAGCAAAGTACCCCCAGGGAGGAAAGGCAGTGCTGGCTAACGCAGGTTGGAGATTTCTCCTGGAACGTACTTGGGTACCCCAAACGCTCCAAGGGCCACTGGGGAACCAGTGGGGCCTGGGCATTTGCTGAGCACGGCTGAGCAGCCCATGTGCGCCCAGGAATGGGAGGCTGAGGCCTGAGGAAGGGTTTTTCCCGGGTGGAGATGGAGGGAAAACACCTCCCATGAGCTGGCAGCTTTTGTCCAAGGGAAGCAGAGCTGCTGTTCTACTTGTTCTTCGAGACGTCTTTGTTTGATGTCCCTTTTTGCCAGCTGAACAGCCAATTTAAGTCTCTCTTCAGACACCACTGAGAACATCCCAGAGCTTCTCAGGCTGAGGTCCTCACTTCCAACGAGATTTCTCTTATCACTGGATGCCTTCAGTTTTTCTATTATAATTGGACGGGGATGAGAGAATCTGAGAGCCAAGTTCTCTGGAACTGCAGGAACATTTCTATTAAACTGGAGCTGTTCAAAGTGTAAAAAAAAAACCTGATGTTATGCAGAATGCTATACACAGGCGATGCAACTCTGTCATGATGGCACTGTTTTGGATTTATGATGAACACAGTGTTAACAGCACATCAATGTTTTCATTCTTGCTAGGCAGTGCTCACAGAGGTCAAGGCCTTTTCTGCTTCTCACCTGCTCACCACTGAGTAGCCTGGGGGTGGGCAACAAGCCAGAGAGGAAACAACTGGATGGTTGATCCCAACTGACAAAAGGGATATTCCACACCCTGTAGCATCATGCTCAGCAGTAAAAGCTGCAGGGAAGAAGGAGAAAGGGGAGACTAGTGACAGCATTTGTCTTCCTAAGTCACTGTTATATGTGCTGAAATGGCTGAATTCCTGCCTGCTGATAGGATGTAGAGAATGAATTCCTTATTTTGCCTTGTTTGCGCACAAAAAGAGGAAAGCATTTGCTTTCCCTGTTAACCTGCCTTTATCACAACCCATAACTTTTCGTACTTTTTGCCTTCCAGTTCTCTTCCCCATCCCAACTGAGAGAGGGTGAGCAAGTGCTCAGCTGCCTACTGGGATTGAACCACAACAGATAATTAAGAATAATTATACATCCAGTTTGTGATCTCTAGCCTTACTAAAGGACAGTGTCAAGATAATGTGCGACAGCACGAGGAAAGCTAGTATGACACTCCCTGCTGGGCTGTCTCATGAAGTGGGTCAGAATCACGTTTTTGTTACAATCACAAAGAAAACCAATTCAGCATCGCTACAGACGGCAAATACTACCTGTGTTTGTAAAGCTTTAGCTTCATTCCTGTATCGCTGGCTGGTGAATGCAAACGCATCATCAGACACCACTGTCTTGCTTGGTACCATCTCATCGGCTCGAGAGCAAATCTCGCTATTATCGCTTGCTTGTGATCACAGCTGTGGATGCGAGAACAATAAACCGTTATTTCAGACTGGCAAAAGCCATCCCGGGTCTGATGTGAGTAACAAAGGGAGAACCAGCCCGAGCAGCCGCGGACAGAATGGGGCGGCCTCTCCGCAACCGCCCAGGGCTCGTGGCTGCTCCCGGCCCTGGCCCTCAGGGCGTCCCGGGCGGCACCGGCACGGCGGGCCCCGGGCGCTGCCGCAAGGGACGGACGGACGGACGGACGGACGGACGGATGGACGGATGGACGGAGGTCGGTCAGTCAGTCGGTCGGTCGGTCGGTCGGGCGGCCCGGGCCGCGGCGGACGCGCCAGGCGCCGTTCGAACCCGGTCCCGCCGCCGCACGGGCCGCCGGGAGCGCGCCGAGCTACGGCGGCCGCGCGGGCCGGGCCGGGCGGAGCCTCCGCCGCTGCCGCCATGGGCTGGGAGGAGAGGCAGATCCGCGGGTACCCCGAGTTCGTGCGGACGGCGCAGAGCTACCACGGCCGGCCCATCTTCGCGCTCTTCTGCGGCGATAAGGACGCCGAGGGCAGGAGCTGGTGTCCCGACTGCGTGACGGGTGAGGCGCGTGGGGGAAGCGCCCTGCCTGGGGCATGGGCTGTGTCGGTCGTGAGGAAGCCGGAGAGGCCTCGGGCGCCTTTCCGGGAAATGCCGGGCGGGCACAGCAGCCCCAGAGCCGGTGCCAGGCTCCAGGCGCAGTTTCCCCGGTGAGCTGAGCGGGCTGTGAGCCGCAGCTGCCACGCTGCCCCTTTGGCTGCGCACATGGAACGGCGCGGGCTGCTGGCGAAGGCTGCTAACACGGCCCAGCAGACAGACAGACAGACAGACCTGAGCCCTGCCGTCATCTTCACCTATGCTGCACGTGTCGAGGCGCAGCGATGCCTTCCCCGACCGTGTCCAGCGGCAGTATTTCCTTCTGAGAAATCACCGCACTGAACCGCAGGGCTTTACGTGTCTGAGCAGGTCTGAAGGTGCCTTAGGGACCCGTCACCCTGCAGAAGGGCGCTGTGCTGGGCTGCCACACCCAGGACAGGACAGAACAAGAGAAACAAGAGTGTTTCTCTTCGTGTTAGAGAAGAAATTGGCCTTTGCTCCAACACAAGTCCAGTCAGCGTTCAAGCATGTAATAAACTCTGAAAAACTTGTGGATGGCCCGGTGCAACGAAATATCGATCTGTAACTAAAGCAGACAAAACATTAATAAGTAGCCTTGCCGGTCCAAGTTAATCCATGTGACTCTGTAGCACGAGTATTTAGTACTAACACATTTTAAAAATTATTTTCTAGCTGAGCCAATTGTGAGGAAGGAACTTCATAACCTGCCTGATGAGTCAGTTTTCATCTACTGTCTAGTTGGAGATAGAGCCTAGTAAGTACCTTTGAATGCTGACAAATTTGTTCTGTTGGTGGACTGGTGGTGAACCTGTTGAAAAAACTGACAGAGCTGTCCTTTTCTGTAAAGAGTCAATCTTTACAGAAAAGATTGTAAAAGATTGAGGTCCTCACGATCTCTGACATAATCTATCTGCATGCTTGTTTTGAGAAGGGCATTGGGAAGGTGTGAGGCAAAGGCCTTTGAATAATTTTGAAGCTATTTTAACTTCAAAATGCCTCTCTACAAGCTGTGCTTAACACCTTCTTTCTGAACAGCTGGAAGGATCCCAACAATGAATTCAGGAGGAATCTGAAACTAACAGGAGTGCCTACACTACTTAAATATGGCACAGTAAGTGATTAATGTTCTGAATCTACAGGCATTGAGATGGGGGCCTGTCAGGAATTTAGGGCTGAATGAATTAGTCGCTTGTATTCTCTGAGAACCCTCTCTTGTTCAAGCAGACCAGAGCATTCTAAACATCTCTTCTGCTCCCAGTTCCTCAAGAGAGAACCATTTTGCTTATTGTGTAATGTCTATAATAAACATGCAGTAAAGGGAATATGTGCACTTGCCTCATGGTGCTTGAGGGGTTGAGAAACTTCTTAGCTACATATTGTTACTGTTCCTGATTTGCAGCTCCTCAACTTTTGAAAATTCCAAACACTGAGGCTACAGGAGTGAAACAAGTTCCAAGCACTCTGGTCAGACTGCAGCTCAAGTTGTAACTTGTACATGTTAGTTAAATTAGCAGTTACTTTCTTAGAAATGCCTCTTCCAAGGCCAGAGAACCCTCAAGAATGTTTTAGTTGTAGTTACCATTCTTGTTCCAGCCCCACTACACCTCCCTCCCCAGGCCAAAGTTGCTGGATGTGGCTACTGTTAGTGTGTACAAATGGCTCTCAGCCAGAACAGGTTTTTTAATTAGGAACGTTTTTCTTTCAGCCTCAGAAGCTGGTTGAAGAAGAATGTTTTAAATCGGAGCTTGTGCGTATGTTGTTTACTGAAGACTAAAGGCCTCACTAGTCAATTACTGATGAAGATGGTAGTCTCAACTACTGCACTGTCCTTTCAAGGAATCACTGACCTTTGTTAAAGCTTTAATGATTAATTACTTTGGACTACTTGAGATAAATGCCCTGAAATTCTGGGTCCAAACCTTACACTAAAATCTTACAAGAAAAACTGTATCTTTCCTTTCATGTCCAAATAAAATTGAGTTTGTGAACAACCTCTTTTCAAAGGACCTGAGCTCGTGTTAGAAACTCAGATTACCTTGCATTTACTGAAGTGTAACTACAAGTTGCACTTTCAGCGAGTAAGGAGGAAGGGGAGAAACAGAAAGCCCTCCTTCCTAAGCCTGACCACATAATTACTGAAACTGTTAAGACAAATTTTCAATGCCAAAGATGTTTAATGACTTATCTGTTCAGTCTGAGTGTGATAATGTGATGGCTGGCAGCTGTAGTGTCACTGATCCCATCTTAATGGTTAATATTTGGGAGTACCTGTTCCTACAAGGACAGGAAATACAACATGAATGCACCAGAAATACAGTCTAAAAATATGAAAATTAAAAACCCTGGCAGCTGCCAAGAGCTATGTTGTTAGAATAAAAAGCTATACAGGAATAAATGGCAAGCGCTTCTCCAATACTCCAAGCAAGGGCATGTTTCCCTGCACACCCTGTTCTTGTTACATGGAGTGTAAAGAGACTCCAGAGCAGCCACTGTGGCACGGGCAGAGGCCAAGACTCAAGGAAGCTGAGTTGAACGGAACAGAGGCAGCTACACCTTGTTTCCTTCTGTATCCTGCAGAGTTTATGAAATGTTTATGAACATTTTAATGAGGCTCACACTCAGGCCTGAAACAGCTTATGAAAACTCATGGAAGTGCCATGTGCCAAATAAGACTGGGAAACAATTTGTGTGGGTAAATAAAGCACTGAAGTAAACTGGGGAAGGAAAACATCTTTTCTCTGACAGAAGAAACAGTCTCTTTCTTATGGCCAGAATCTACAGTAAATGTAAATCTACATTTACACCGTAATAAATGGGCAACTATTGACTAAGTGCTCTAGAAAAACCTAAATGGGCAAAAATAGCTTCAGTACAGTCAGCTCTATTTTTAAAGGACTACCAAACATTATATTAAGCAGTCCCCAATCACCTGAGGGCAGCATGGGGTGCCTGCCTTTCCTCTGTGCCCCCAAAGGTAAGGGCTGTGCTTCCCTCAGAGTTTCTGTGCCAAGCAGAGGCAGTCTGCAGTGCATGGCAAGCCCTCTCTGTGCCACAGACCTTCACTCGGGCCAGCAAAGATACACGGAGGGGAAGGTCTGATCTGACACTAAGAGCTGCCACTGGCATGGTTCTCCTGGGCAGAGGAGAACCAGCACCCTGCCATTAAACCACACAGACAAATGCTGAGCCTAAGTCTTGCAGCAGAGTGGTGGCTTTGTGGTGCAAGGCCAGAAGTGCTGAAATCCTCTGCGTGACACAAAGAGATTGATCAGACTTGTCCAAAGTCACACATCTATTCCCCCACACTGGAAAACATTGTGAAAACTCTGTCACTTGATCCAAGGGCTCAGGATTCATTACCACCCCCTCTTCACATATTTAGCACAGACACTTGGGGGGAAAAAAAGATGTGAAGTATGTAAAAATGTATACAATATGTCACGACTGAAAAGGAAGAGGTAGTATGTTAAGGAAGTGGCAACACACCTGAGCTGGAAAGCAAAGGCTGAATAAGCCAAACACTGAGGTCAAGTGAGAACAGAACTCAGCTGGAATGCAGTACTCGCTGCTCTGAACTCAGTGGATGACACCAACAAATTCGAACCACTCTTCAGATTGGGGACTTCTGATCATGTAGAGAATGCTGAAAGGTTTTTCTTCTCTATTTCACAGATCTAGATGTTCAACACACGGGCAGGAAACACCTTTGTTCTCCCTTTGTATATTTTCTTGTAGTTTGGTAATTCACGAACTCATTCACAGTTGTGAGACCATTCCCAAGCACTAGTACACTGTGGGAACAAGCTTGCACGCTGGTACATGACCAAGCAGCACCCCTGTGCAACAGCAGCCCAGATCACAATGCTGCAGGTTTAAGACGCTCAATACTTGCAGAAACAGCATTAGCAACTTTACTTATTTTGGTAAACTGGTATTTTGAGAGAAGAGAGGAAAAGCCAAGGATCCATAGAAGTGGGCAGAAAATAAGAAAGCTTTAATTTAGCTCCTTAGAGGTGGCACTGCCAGCTGGCCAGCTGACAGACTCACCGACCACAAGGAATCACATTCTACCCTCGGATGGTAAAACGGGAACTGTTTGCTCACTCAGGGTGGCTGAATAGCTCACCCTGACAAAGCCCACACTGAGGATCCTCCCGTGTTTTTTGTGGGTGCTGGGGGTGCACGTTTGAAAGCGGGGGGCAAACAGATTCTTTTATGCCACTACCTTAGCAGCATCACAACTTCTGCACCTAAAACAATATTCCTTTGATGAGCAACAAAACAATTGCCATGTCTGGTAAGCGTCTATGATACTTGTCCTGCAGCTGAAGGGGCTGTAAACCAGATCTAGTCACAAAGCAATTGTCCTTGCACTGTCCACTGCAAGTAATATGTATTTACTCAGGGCACTGGAACAGGACACCATGCATGCTTGCTGCTGAAGAAAAGCCCATTTGTGCCTGTTATATTGGAAAGTTTGTACAACATTTATTCTTAAAAACTGGTTGTGTTTCTTAGAGTCTTATAATCCTTTACTCTGAAATGAATGAGACAGTTTGTAGGGTATGCCACCTGATTTGGCCCCACCTAA